CAAATAGGTTACTGATGCATAGAGACTATTGTCAAATCAAATCAGTAGTTCAGTTGCAAGTATAACTGGGAAGTGCTGAAATGTTGAAATTCATAAGACAATTATTGTTTTACTTCAGAATTTCGGTACTCCTGTGCGTGATGGAACGAAGCAATTATATTAAAAAAATATATATTCTTGTGTGCTGCAAGCCCAAAAAAATCCTTGAAATGGATGGAGAAATAAATTATCTGTTTTTTTTTAAATAACAAGTTTTTAAAAAGTTGCTGAGTTTCTATTCCATTTAATTTTTTAGTTTTAAGTATTGCCGAATGTAGAATGATCCCCCTCTTGAGGGGGTAAGTTATTATTTTTTCGGCAATCTAGCCTGGAATGTCGTAATCAGCAGATCAAAATATAAAATAAACATTCTGCATTCCGGTAATACTCACAAATTGGAAATTAAATTAAATAAAATCTCAGCAATTTTTCAATAATATTTTAATTTAAAAAAATAGCTAATTAATTTCTGTATCCATTTCAAATACTTTCTGAGCTTTGAGCACATGAGAATATATTTAGTTTAATTTAATTGCTTCGTTTCACATGTTTATTTTTGATTCTTCGTTGTGCAGCTTTGGTTTCGAACCGCCAGGGCGTCGCCACTGGTATCGTTGAATTGCCAATGGTCCGACAACTAAGCATATTTAGGTTCGTCATGCACCGTACATAGACCATCATGATATTCATGATCTAAATATAGAGTTTGAATTTTATCAATTTAATTTATGAGTTCAGATTTTTATGACTTGCGAAAAAAACGTTCGTTGAAAAGTCTATCATCAGATATATATTACTTCTATTTTTGGAATCTAGGCTCCTGTTGTTCTTTTCTTTACAAGCCTATTTCAAGACACTTTCACTAATATCAATGGAAGTATTTAGGTATGATTTCTTACGTTCTAGATTGCAAGTATTCAGAAAATAGTAAATATTAATTGATCTCATAATATTTTTTCATGTGACGACATATATTTCAAATCTAACCATCAATATTTTACAACAAAATCCTCAAAGAATTTTTTAAAATTAGTTATAGAAAATATCTAGTCTAAGTTTACATGTCAATGAGTTGCCAATTAATACTCATATTTTTTAATGTTATTAAAACTAAATTTTTTGGATGACTTAGAATTTTGTCAATATTCAATTATTAATGTTCTAAAACATAATTCTGATTTAGATTTATAATTAGTGTTTTCAAAATCTGCTTGACTGAAGGAGAAAACATTTAATATTTCAATCAAATTTTTACTAGTACAAACAGTTAAGGTAGGTTTTTTGTGAAAGTTCTGTTGATGTCAAGTTTAGATCTAAGCTTTTGAAATTTATCACATAGATTGAGTATGGAAAAACAGAATTATAATCCCAGAGAGATTTTATTGGGCTATGTTTTCAACCGACTGTTCAGTTATATTCAGGACTTTGCAAGCCTAAGTTCAAGCACTCCCTTTTGCATCTAGATGTGGCCAAAATAATTTTTTGTACAATATTTCCAATCCTGTTATTTTTGGTAGGAAACTTGATGAAATTATAATTAACTAACTGTAATTCCTTTGTCATTTTATTCTACATGAAAGTCATTCGTAATTTCAAAAGTAAACTAGTATAAAAAAATTTCATCATTAGTTATAAAGGTATAAAAAGGCACAATCTGCATCTACATTTATTTATATAACTTTCATAAATATCTTGGTGTGTACTTGATTTACAAATAAGATTCTTTTTATTGACATTCGGTCATACAGTTGAGACTGCATTACGTATAAAGATTAATAATTAGCAACAGCTGCATTGAGACTCGTATCAAAAAGTATTGATTGTCAAGTTTGGCATATACCTGAATAGTTAATTCAAAAAATTTCTTTGGGTGAGTTCGCAGATTTGTTTATTGATTCAGAATATTCCACTGACGTCATTTAAATAACTTTTTACAAATATTACAATAATTTGTGTGAATATCATGTCTTCTTAAAATTATTGGAATATTATATGTAAGTGCCATTCATTTATCTATTTCGTTTTTTGTACATTCAACATTCTAAAATTAACTTACCAAAACTTATCATTAATCAAAACAATATTTAATCAATACTTAAAATAAAAAGTGGAAAAGTTAGGTTAAGCATCTAGTTAAATCACAATTTCAACTTTACAATTAATGTAGCTTTATACTTCATAACTATGAACACACATGAATCATTACTCTTTTTGATTATGGAATATGTCAATTGGCATGAAAGGTTCATTTAAATGTCACTTATATGGCCCCGGTACCCAGTTACAGAAATCCAAATTATTCGACTGGCTTCGACTAATAACCTGGCATAAAGTTTAACACATTTTCATACAAAAAAGTTTACATAATATCTGTAAAATTATTTTCACAATTTTTTATTCAATATATTATTATTATATACTTAGTAAAACATAAATTATGGCTCTAAATAAGATAAAAAAATTCTTTTGGCTCAGATAACTTAACTAATTTCCTATACCTGAATACGTATGAAACAAATTGCTTATTCAAAAAATTATCATTTATTACCTGTAACTGGCTAAGTTATTATTCATATTACAGTAATTGCCACATATTTGATATAACACTGATGATTATTAATGTAATTAAACATTAATGACTGTAAGAATGTTAGTGATATCTCACTGTACCTACTGTACAACAATTAAGATGCAAGTATGCCTTTTTCTTATCTAATATTATAGTTAGGTAAATTTTAGAAAGCTTTAAATAAGGAACAATAATTACATTGAATTTACAATTATAATGAATTGAATTCAAGAAAGTAGTGATATCTATCAATCTATTGGCAAGCATTAAATAAAAATTATTCTTTTTTATCTAAAATAATTACGTTTTTTATGCCACTTGCGCTGGACCTGCATTCCACTCCCAAGATCAACTGTCAATTGAAAAATCATCAATTTCATTAATTTTTGAATGAAATCCATTATCAATTCATTAATAAATTTTACATAAGTTCAGGTCCAGCGCAAGCGGGATAAAAAACGTAATTATTTTAGATAAAAAAGGATAATTTTTATTTAATGCTTGCCAATAGATTGATAGATATCACTACTTTCTTGCATTCAATTTATTGTAATTGTAAATTCAATTTAATTATTGTTGCTTATTTAAGGGAGTACCACACCAACTATGCGAGACAAAGCAGAGTTAAGTTAGGTTTGACTCACGCGGTAGCTGAGTACAGCATTGCAGGTTATATCTATAATATATATCGCGAAAAGACGGTGTTTTGTAATGCATCATAACATTTAACCAACTAATAACCAATGAATCAATGTTTTTAATGTCTCAAAATGATCCTTAGATATCGTTTTTATCGAACACAAAAGATTACTAAAATCTCTACGTTTTCTTTCGAAATTCGTACGAAAATGTATCAAAAAATTTGCAATTTCCATAAGAGACCGTGTTGAAAGAGCAAAAAATCAATTGTTTATAATTCGCTTCAGAGCCAACCTCAGCTCTTGAGACTTTAACTAGGTCTTTCTAGTGTCAAAATGGTACTATGTACCAAGTTTCATAATTTTCTCTACATTATTTCGATTTGGTGTGGTACTCCCTTAAAGCTTCCTAAAATTTACCTAACTATAATATTATATAAGAAAAAGGCATACTTGCATCTTAACTGTTGTACAGTAGGTACAGTGTAGATTATATGATTTTTCATATGACAGATCATATGAGCAATCATATGATCAACAAGAAATCACGTAATACAAATTTTTTTCTCAAATCACATGAATAATTACATGATAAGTCATATGATAAAACACACGATGAAATACAATATAAAATTCAATTTTTTTGGTCGATAACTTCACCAGAAACCTATCTTAATAAATAATTATAATCTAAGGAATTTAATAACAACTTATATGATTACGAAATTAATGTAATTTATTAGTGATGTAATTTGTTAACAGATGATTTCACTCTCTTATTGTATCAACATGAAGAGACATAATATACGTTTTTGAAGAATAAAAGAACTTTCCTAGTAATGAAGAACATTCAAAATATCTTACCACTGGTTCAAGTATACTTGTAAGAATAAGCATCAAAGAATAAATACCAAAACGAATAGTATTTCTTTTTTAATACGTCGTTAAATATTCAGATGTGAGTGCCTATATATATTTAGAAATCATGGAATCTAACGAAAAATGTAGTATCGGCAAACTTTTCAATGAAGATTGCCATTTAGATAGTTTTGTACAGATACATTTTCTGAAAAACTTAGAAACACTTGAAGGAGATGAGCTTAAAATCCTTCTTTTGAGATTATCTGCACTCTCAACTGATTTGGAACAAACACAGCACCAAACAATTTGCAATCATCATTACAGTAAATTTTTAAAATATTATTCAGTGTCACAAAAAAAATGCGTGGACCCATGGAACGCACACAATGCAACAGTTAAAACTCAATTGAGAGAAATAACATTGGAATATTCAGAAATAAGTAAATCAGCTTGCAATGTCAGTTTGATACCTGGTCAAAAAATCTGTCCCAATTGCTTGATCAAGCTGAACAAAAAAATTGATGATTATAACACCCAATTCAAATCTTGCATTGATCCGTTCCAAAGACATCGGAATAAATGTATCAGTGAATTGGAATTTATAAATCAAAGTTTTATAGAGTATTTTCAACAAGCCCTCAATTTGAAATTGACGATACAGCAAAAAATATGCAATGCTTGTAAAATCCAAGTACAATCCAATATTTCAGATCTAGAGAAATTAAAAGACAAGCCTTTGCTCCTAGTGAGTGCAACCGATTCAAATTCATTTTCAAGTAATTACAGTCAATCTCTAACGTCAGAAGACAATACTCCAGGTTCAGTGTTCGACACCAATAGTCAAAAAAAAAGGAAGTTTCAAGAAATATTGACCACATTTGATATTCCTCCATTCAAACGAATGAAATTCACTGATGAGCGCTTAGTAAATAAAGGCATTGAGTGTATACAGACTATCGTAAATGAAACATCGTGTTCCTTTGAACAAGCGTATGATATTCAATTGCCAGACTTCAAAAATCTAGATAAAATTCATAAAGAAAGTTCTTGGTTCAAAAATATACTTTCAAACCTAAAGTCAAGATTGGACACTTGCAAATCATTTAATGATAAAGTTAGTTTATTAACATTGTTGCCAGATGATTGGACTTTCAAAACAGCTGAAGAGTACTTACAATGTTCCTATCATGCATTTATTGAGGCCAGAAAATTGAGGGAAAAGCATGGTGAGTTATGCATTTAATTATTTGTAAATCCCTTAAACACTCGTCTATTATTTAACAGTTGAAAATGAATCTCGTTACTACCAATCATAGAGATATTTTTATATATAAGGACGGAGAATGTTATTTTAATAAAAAATAAAAGTTTCATTTACGTAATATACTTTCATCGAAATTTTCGTAATCTAAATTTCAAATTCTACTAAACTTTAAATTAAATGATCGTTTCATTTAAAAATGAAGGATTTTTTTTCTTCATTTCAAGTACACATAGATTACTGCAAAATTCTTAATAAGTAAGATGAACAAAATTCAAGCAATAAAAAGGTGTTTTGCTAATTTATGAGATTTTTTATTATTGTCAATTCTTAGTCCTATTTTGAAATGGAGTGAATTCGTGAAATAATTGTCGTTAATACTATGGAGAAATTGTATAATTCATATTCCAATTTATTTATCTAGGAATTTTGGGACGACGTGTCAAGAAATCTTATCTTCGCATTTCGCTTGAAATCAGAAACGAAATTGTTGACTACTACTTAAATGATTCAAATACGATAATGTGTAGTGGATCAAAGGAATGTGTAACAATCAAAGTTCCTGGCCAGCCGTCTGAAATAGCTCAGAAAAAAATTTTAATTTATGACTTGCGTGATTTATATAACAATTGGAAAGAAGACAGCAACCGCGAAGTTGTACCATGCTTGGCATTTTTTACAAGTCTGAAGCCTAAACAGTGTGTTTTTGCTGGCGATCCTGGCACCCATAATATATGTGTTTGTCCTATACATGAAAACATAAGACTGAAGTTAGCTGCTGTTCAGCCCACTTTGAATTACATAAAAGTTATTGAAGCTGGTGTTTGCTCCCTTAACAGTAAACTTTGCATGTTCAATGAATGTGATGATTGCCCTCAGGAAAGTGGAATTGAGGAATTTTTGAGAGCGAACATTCCTGTTGAAAATATTGAAAATGTAAAATACAGTAATTGGGCTTCTGCCACTGTTGATACTGGAAATAAAGAAACTTCAACGTCCACTAGGGTCACTCTGACCGGGTTTACTGAACCAATAGATGAATTTTTAGATAAATTAACAGACAATATTTGGGATATGACTCGACATCACTTTATTTCTTATAAACAGAAAGAAAATCTGAATGACACTTTAAAAAATTTGGCAAGTGATACTGGAGTACTCATAATGGATTTTGCTGAGAATTATGCTTTTATTTGTCAAAATTCCACTCAAGGATTCTACTTCAACAATACGAATGCTACACTCTTTACTGCTACATTATATTACAAAGAGCAGGCAGCAATGGACTTGAAAGTCGAATGTTTTTGCGTTATTTCAGAAACTTCAATACACCAAGCGTACTCTGTAAATATATTTATGGAAGCTATTATCAATGACATCAAATCTAGATTTTCATGGATAACAAAAATCATTTATTTTTCTGACGGAGCTCCAACACAGTTCAAAAATAAGTGAGAAAGAAATTTGTACAATACTATATTTATTTTACAAGTATTTTGTTGTAAATTAATAGTAAAAATTTTTTTTATTTGTGTGTTGCTATACTCCTATCAAAAAAATGTATTCTTTCAAAGAAAAGACTTAATAGAATTGATATTCTATATCATTTTCAGAAATCATTTTGGGAATTTGTGCTATCATGAAAAAGACTTTGGACTGAAAATAGTTTCCTACAATTTTTTCGCTACATCTCATGGTAAAAGTGCATGTGATGGTATAGGGGCTGTGGTAAAGCGCATTGCAAGAAAAGCATCGAAGCAAAGAGTTCAAATTTTGAATGCAAAGCAAATGCACGATTATTTGTCCACTAAAGAATCAAAGATAAAGTAAGTTAATATGATAGAAGTTTGCCGAAAATTTAGTCAAACAAATTATATATGTACACTTTCTTTACAGAATATTGTATGTTGATGATAGTGCAGTTGAGGCAAGAGGAAAATCACTCGCTAAGAGGTTTTCATCAGCAAAAACTGTTAAGGATACCAGACAATATCACTTTTTTGAACCAATTGATCAAAAAACTATGAAAGTGAAATTTTATTCTTCCGACCAAGAATCATTTATTGTGAATATATTCGACTAGTCATATTTCTATTGCTGTACTGATAAGAATTCGATTTCTTTTTATTTCAATTGTTGTAGAAAGATTAATTATATCCCTTGAATTATATTGAAATACATCAACACTTGAATGTGTAGCTTTGAGTAATACTTCGTAAAGTTCCTGTCGAAACCTACGCAACTAACCCAAATAATTATGCACAGTAAGTATGTAAATATAGTTTATGATTTTCAATTAATCTTTGGAGTATACAATTATGACTGTTTGCTGAAAATTACGTTTATGAAACTTAGAAGATAGAGAAACCGATGAATATTGATCGTTCTCGTACGAAAAATCTGAAAACTCGCATATTTCATAGCTGAAAAAGCACACAAATCAGCCGATATACAGAAAAAAAATTATTGCACTCTGTTGAGGAACACTTGAAGAAGATCCTCTGAAATTTTGAGACAAATCGAAACAGGTAGATTTTTTTCCAGCTAGGTCAAAATCAGCAAAAAACGCGATTTTCACGAAAATAGCTATTTTTAAAGTAGCATATCTCCGTCACTTTTGAATCTACAGAAATGGGCTGGGTCTCATTTTCTTTGTCTTTTCAAGAGCTATCCAATGCCGTACTTTAAAAATTGTAAATATTGAAAATTCACTGTCTTACGGCCCTTGAACATAGGCAAAAATCGTAAAAATCACTCTGCACTTTTGGGTCTCTAGGATTCTTATTATTACACGAACCTATATTTTATATTACGGCGCTATAAAGCTCTTGAGAAGACAAAGAAAATGAGCCCCTGCTCGTTCAAGTAGCTTTAAAATTCGAGATTTGAGAAGCAACTGAAAATAGGTCGAAAAACGCTTAAAAAAGGCGATTTTTTGATCTTTGAAACAATCCTGTGGGCCTAATTTTTAACTAGGGGGCTGAAATTTTGGGCAGTTTCTTTTTTTCTTATGTAGAATACGTGTACTAATTTTCAATAAAATCGGAGGACCCCGTGCGCACGGTTTTTCGATGAACTATAATTTTGACCCTAATACATATAAATTTTTTTTTTTTTTTTTACATTACATTATTACATATATCAGGATTAAGTGAATTTAAAAGTTGTTACTTAACAGAGGGGGATTACTTTGAAGGGGACAACATAAATAGTGATAAATAAATAAATATTTTTTCTTAAAAATACAAAGTCACCTTACTTTTTGAACACACCTCGTATAAAAATATTATTAATGTTACTTTATTTCCAATACATATTAGGAAGAGATAAAATGTAATCATTACAATCAACACTTAAATAAACACATGCTTTATCAATATTATTAGTTTCTGTTATATCGGTATTCATATTTACTCCTATTACTTGCTTTATGCAGTGTAACTCATTAGTTATTAGATGATCGTCATTGCTTATTGCAATCTTTTTGTACGTGGTGTACTTATTTCCATTCTCCATATTCACGAGAAATTGTTGAATTTCTATGTAATCTCCATTTTTCAATATTGCAACTGAGTTATCAGATCGATATAATGACTTTTCGTACGATTTAAATGTACAGCCGTCCTTAACTAGTTTTTCACATGCCCTTATTTTTCCGATTGGAAGTTGGAACTGTGCTATAATATCTTCATTCGTTATTGTTCTCCCAATATATCTATATGTAAACTTAACAGTTTTTTCAATGAATCCATTATATGTATAAATATTTCACATACTCTATACACAATGAATCTTCTGTTGTTTTCACGTGTTTTTCTAATTTAATAATACTTTCTTCTAAAGATAAATACCGACAGACCTGACTTAAGACGCCTTTTGCAGCATAAATACTTGCTTTAATTCTTCCGTTACCTGATTCGAATACGTAACCACTATGTGCATACAACGGGCCCAAATCTGTAACACTCTGTGTTAGGTATAATAGTTGGTGAACGTTATAGGACATCGCATCGTCGGTATAAAGAAGTTTCGTGCTAGAAACAAACTTTTTTCAAAGGAAATCTGCTCTTTCTAATTCTGTTACACTTATTTCGGTTTGCAGTAATATATAGTACGATTCGACTAACCAAGACCAGTGATTCATATACTCTTCAAATATTGGGATCTCTTGTGATAATAATTTTAATATAGGTATACTGTAAAAAAGAATCCAATCCGACCACTCTACTGCATTCCAGTAAGTCCGATCACTTAATGAACGTGATAATCGCACTAATTGAGTAGGTACTTTAAATTTTTTCATATGTTGCTGAATGATTCTTATATTACTTTTAGGAATTGAATAAGGCTCATTAGATGAAGCGAACCAATAGTTGCAAAATTGCTTCTCTACACCTAGATCAACGCAGTGCATTGGACATGGAACAAAACCATCTATTATGTTAAACTTGTTCAAAAGCAACAAAGGACTAACATTTTTTACGCCAAAGATGGGAGCATTTAATTCAACTGCTCTCTGCATTAGCTGAAATGTGGCATCTGCGATTCATCTTTCAGGATATTCATCTAGTATAGGATACTTTATAGAATAATCAGTGTCATGACGAACCCGTACACCTGGATGCAAACACCAATTGCAGCCGTAGTACCCATTAAACTGAACGGTATAAGAATTTTTTGTACTCTCCATTTTTATATATAAATTATATTGATAACAAGTATGGCAGAGCAATCCCTTAAATTTGGTAATTAAAAACAAACACACCACATCAATTATCGATAACGTTTCGTCAGCATGGTCACTGACCTCCTCAGATCTTTATTGAAAAACATTATATAATAATGAAATACAAATAAATACGGTCAATACACAAACAATTAAAAGCTTATTTTCCCTACCAAATAAATATTTTCATTTCTCTTCAGTACATCTTCAATCAGTCACATAATCTGTGTAACAAAAATTTTTTGTTAAAGTCAAAATATGATATAAAAACATAGTGGTCAAAACATTTTGGTCAAATCAGTGATCACATCAATAGTTAAAACTGTACTGAAATGAACTTAGACTGTGTTTACAAAGCAAGAAAAAATAAGCGTAGTCAATTTATAACGAGGTGAGTTATTGATAGTTGGTTAGGGAGGATAGTTGCTTCAAAGTATATCGCAGATCGGCGATATACATACAACTTATAAAACAAATTTTACAGTGTATTTATCTGTACATACGGGCAACACTATAGTAAACAAGGAATATGCTAGTCAAACATCAATGCCATCAACTAACGAGTCTCTATACAATGCATACCTAATTTTTGATATATTCATATAATCTTTGATATTGTTTACTTAAAAATTTGGTATCTTCTTGTCTATTAATAGTGTTATTGTTAATATTAATGTAAATCATTTTAGCAATCAATCTTTTCTGTCTGTTACTCTCTCTATGTAAAATCATAACATTATCAAAATCAAAACTGTGTGAAGGACTTTGTTTAATGTGTAGCCGGATCGATAGTAATTTATCAGAAGGTGTACTTTTGTGTTTATAAATTCTAGTTTTTAGTTGTCTTTTTGTTTGCCCCACATATGAACAATCACAATTACCACAAGAGAACTTATAAATAACATTAGTTTCTGCCCACTTGTCCAACCTATCTTTTCCCAGTGTAATTATACTATTTAATTTATTATTCATCAATGGAATACAAAAAATATTAAATTTCTTTAGTTTAGATTTACAAGTAAAGAAAAACTTTTTGTGGAACGGTAATGAAATAGAAAAATCTACCCTTGATAAATCAATATTATTCTTATTTTTAGCCATATTATTATTGTTTTCTGTGAGTTTATATTTTTGCATACGAAGTCGGCGGCAAATGCAATAATCGATAAATATTTCTTATGTTTACACTCCTGATATTTGATAATTTTATTTTATTAAATTTCTGATCTTAGGAGTTATCCCTGTAAATAACTACACTCTTGTTTTTCTTATAAACGTTTCGCAATTCAATTTATTGCCACCTCAGTATACATCTGTTAATATAAAATGAATAATTTCAAAATCAAATATAGTAATAAATTAAATATAAACCTACGTTTTTTAATATGCTTTGTATTGCAATGTTGATTAAAATAAAAATTATTTCCTCACATATATAACGTCAATATAAAATTATAACATAAATTAAATAATACAATAATTTTTTGTCAGTACGGTATAAACACATCATGTCCAAGCAAAATAAAACTGATAGAATACGTTTGTATATGCTCCTAGTAAGTCACTCGCGCTGTATAAGAATAGAAAGAGAAAGATTGACTGGTCTAACAAGAGAGATATGAAGAGTGGGGAATACAAAAGAGGAAAAGAGAGATCAGATCATGTTCATCTCATAATACTATTACTAAATAGACTTAATGATGTTAAATATTCTCGAATATTGGTTGCTTAGATATTTTGTATCTTCTTGTGAATTAATGGTAATATCCGTAATTTTAATGTGTACTGATTCTGCGATGCATCTTTTTTTGTAATTCTGTTCTACATGTATAATTTTTATGTTATCCCAATCAAATTCATGTTTCGGATTATTCACGATATGAGCTGGTATAGGTAGATGTCTAAATCTAGAGTTACTTGGATCTTGAATTGTTTTTTTTACCGAATATTTATGTTCATTGATTATAGTTTTTAGAGCTCTTTTGCTTTCGCCTATGTAGTTAGATGTACATTGTTTACTTTGTAAACTATACCTGTTTTTTCATATTTTATTAATTTATCTTTACCTAGAACAAAGCAACAAAAATTTATCTTTACCTAGCAAAAGCTCAAAGCAACTAACATTTTTCTAAAGGAAAACAAAAATCTTTTTTTCACTAGAGCTGACAAAGGCAACATTACCGTATGCTTATACAGAAATGAATACATTGAAAAAATGAATTCGCTGTTGTCAGATAACAGTACCTACACAATCTGGGAGAAAAATAACCCTTTAACCAAAATGCAAAAAGATGTTCAGTATTTCCTTATAAATTTCAATGACAAAGGATACATAAAAAAATATTTCCCGAATATGCTTATTAACCAATTAATCCTCACACAATCCCATACAACACTAGCTAGAGCATATGGACTTCCAAAAATCCACAAA